CACACACACACACACACACACACACACACACACACACACACACACACACACACACAAACACACACACACACACACACACAGATGGGAGAGGTGGGGTGGCCAATCTGGTGAGAAAAAAAATGAGAGAGGAAACAAAACCTAAAAGAGATTTTTATAGAGTAATCTATCCATCCATCAAATGTCTCTGTAATTACTCGACAATGTAAATGGAGGGAGGAAGTAAAAATTAATATAAAAATGCTATTAATAAGACATATTATTAAAACAGGGCTTTTTGAGAGCCTAAGAAATACTTCACATAATGAAATAAAATACAGGAAACAATAACCTGAAACATATATTACAGGGCAGGTGAAGTTTAAGTTTAATATCAACATTGAGCACAGTCTTGGATGTGTAAGGAGTTCTGAAGGAATTGGGGAAAGCCATGATGAAAAGTCACAACAGGTCTTGTGCTTAGTGCTGCAGCAGAGAGAAATTTCCCCCCCAGCAAAAGCGTGTCTAAAAAGGACAACTTTGTTAACATCTGGTTCAAACTAAAGGGTGAAAAAACATCGTCTCCCAATGACACATATGAAATATCTGCCTCCTCAACACTTCTGCAAAATCATGTGACAGCCAGCATGACCTAACGCACATTCTTGTTGCTGTGAAGTAACAGTGCTAACCACTGCACCACCATGCCACCTCAGCATCTGAGAACAAGAGCTTTTCAGTGTCACAGAGGCTCAAACAGGTAAGTTCACCATGCAAGACACAGAAACGTAACCCTATGAGAAACATAATTTATATCTATATATATGTAAATGGTGAAAACAAATGTTTTCTTAAAAATATATTCCTGGCTGGGATGTTGTGTGGCTGTCTGATTTTAACCATTTCACAGTCAAATAAAATGTCAATCCAAATGGTTAATTTTTTAAATCCAAAGATGTCTAAAACACATTTACATTTTTGGAAGAAGCGGCTGCTGAGAAAAAGGTCACACAGCAACAGATAAGAAAGAGCTTCTGGACATAAGTGGAGTGTGTAACACATTAATGCCGTGGCAGACGGCTACATTTTGATATATCTGTGTATTAGTGGAAGTGTTGGCATCGAGGTTTTTGTTTCCCGCCTTGCCAGGTGGGGGTTGTATTTATTCACACACAAGTTTGCAAACCTATGTTTGAGCATTCGAAACAAAGAAGTTAGCTTGGGAATAAAACAAGGAGACCTCACCATATTTTTATCTCTTTTGACAAGGACATGCCCATTGTATTAGATCTGCAAAGAAAAATGCATCATATACATATTATCTTGAATGCAATTGTGTAATATCGAAGAGGGAGTCACATTAAACCACAGCCAACTGCATTTTTCCACTGGTTCTGCATCCCCCTGGAATCCATGAAATATTAGGATCTAAAACTTGTGTTTATAACATCTGGCATACAACAAATCTTACATGCGTGAAATATCCATAAGCTGCTCTAGTGATTCTGTTTGACTCGAGTGAATATTTGCAATAATGTGCTAAAAGCCTGCAGGCAAACAAGTCACCATCTACCTGTTTGTCACTCACCTACAATGTCTGTCCATTGTTAAAAATGGTGACTCAATTTCCACAAAATAAATAAATAAAAAGTGGGCTGGCTGGGTCTTCAGCCCATAATAAGATTTTTTTTTCTCTAGTGGAAAACCACTTGACAAAAACTTCATTTCATTTTGTTATGTGCCTCCAGCCTCACTCCAGCAAATGTTTTGATGAAAGTTGAACCATTTTCCACTCATATCTGGATCAATTTGCATCCTGCCCAGTAAAATCCTCATTTAACTGAATCTTTGCAACGACTCTGTTATCTTATTCAACACACACTGACTGTACAGAATGGTAAGGAAATACATAGTGATCACATTTTGATTTATTATTCAAATGGACACAAAAATGTTTTTATTGCACTGTCGTGTAAAAACAACACTAATTTCTGCTTTTGAAAAACTATACAGCCGGTAAGTTCACTATGTTCCTGAAGCCTTTGTTACTCACCATGTTTATTGTATACATAACTTTGGTGACTGGTTAGTGATTTCAATGTGTCCTTGGTTAACCTCGCTGGCCATAAAGCCAAAGCATTTCCAAACAACTGATGACGATCTGCTTTGAGGGACAAGCTCGCCGCCTCTTGTCGTTCCAGACATTTGAGTTTTGTTGTATATCTGTTGTTTGATGTCGTGTTCCTGATTGCGGAAACTTTATGCTGCAGGATGCAGGGAACCACTGTGGTTAACACGTTAGATCTGCAGTCTATTGGCAGAGCATGCATTTTGAATATTACTCGATCGTGTTCACTTAATTGTGGAAAGCCAAAGTCTTGATCAAGATTCAAACTCAATTAATCGTACGGCCCAAGTGTGCCTGTCTCTTGCAGCCCTGTCTCGTCTTGTCCAGCTGCATTTTATCAGCCTGCTACACAAAAATCTAAATCAGTTATTAATTTATATGCAATTATTTTTTCTTTCTTATAGATCCCGTGTTTTTCAGCTAAGTGTCTGAAGATATGTGACAGCAATACTGTCAATTCTGCCCTTTTATCAGCCCTTACAGACATTAAATAGGTTTACTTTACTTTGTTATGACCTCGAATTCCAGCGTTCACCTAATGGGACTCAACTCCTAATATTTAAACTCAGCGCTCTGTGAAACAAAACATTAATTTAAAAGAAAAAAAAAATCTATCAGTTGACAACCTCTTGCATTTGTTTTCAGCTCAGCAAGCTTCAACTATTACTCCAGTTAATGCTAGCTAAATGTCCAGTAAATATAACACAAGATACATTTTATGATTATCTTCAACTCAAGATGCTTTTGGGGAAAAGCTGCCTAAGAAAACTGGTACAAACACAATTTCTGACATGAAACAATAAAGACAATGACATTGGCCTTCTCTGTGTATGGACGAAGCTTAACTTCGGGACAATTTAGTATCATTACATATCCATTAGTTGATGTTTTTCAGTTGTTATGGTAAGAGTAGGGTTCATCCCCCACCTCTCACCATGTTCCCAATCCACTCTGATGTCTTAGGCTCTCTACTGGGTTGTTGTTAATTAATGCTCCCACATTATTACTTCCCCCTTCTGCTGGACGAGCTGTTTTTGATATTCATGTTACACGCACAAAGCCACAGCATAACCAGAACCATTATGAAACCCCAACGACTGCACTCCATTCAGCCCATTCAAGTGCTTGATTCTGAGACAAATTTTGCTGAGAGAAAAAAAAAAAAAGGTTTCTGAAAGAAAAGGAAGGGCAAACAGGGTGAAAAAAGGCCTTTAATGAAGACCAGACTACACTAGAATAGAATAGAGTAGAATAAAGTAACCTCTTCTTCGTCAGTTTCCATGGCAACAAGCCCTTTGGTGGGATGGTGGTGGAGAAGCCTCAGCAGGAGCGTTTGAGAGAGGCAGCGTGTGAACATCTTCTGTGTGCGCAGACTTTAAAAGCATATGGAAATATATGGAGAATGCTGCATGTACGCACCGACAGGTCCATTATGTTTCAGTATTCACACACTGTAGTCAAAAGTCTCTGATACAGACGGCAAGAAAGAGGGCTGAGAAGCAGAGGGGGATGCTGGTAAATGGAAGTTAGTAACAAGGAGGAAGAAAAAAGAATCCAAATGGAGGATGAGGAGACAAAGGGTGCGCTTACATGGATGCAGGGCTTTACTGGCTTTACATCATATGCTGGAGGGTTTCTTTTAATGAATGCATAAAAAATTGAAATGTTTCTGTTTCTTCATATCTGTGCAGGAATACAAATGGTTAATCTGACTAGTTTGTGTTGATCTCAGCCACAATCCCGGCAGATCAGCTCATTTCAGTGCAAGCACACAGCAGCTGACGACTCATGGCTGATACGCTTCTACACATCCAGTTATCAAATCTCACATATAGCATGTTGCTTAAGCTGTTACTATAGTTATTATGCATCTGCAATCCTCTTTGCAACCCACTTCAACAAACATTCTGACATAATCGGTGTTATATATAGCCATTGATCTGCCATTGATCTGCTCTGTCTGCCTTTTTCCATGGAAGCACATGGAAGGAGAACAAGCTAACAGAGACTTGAGACTTGAGCATTGTGGGCATGAGAAGTAGAGTAGTTTTTATATAGACAACCAGAGGAGTCACCACCTGCTGACCATAAGACCATTTAAGACTTTTACTTTTAGTTCCAGATATGCTTGAAATAAAGTCTGTTGTTTCACTTTACATATTGGGAAACGGGCCTCTTGTCACTATCTATCCCATATTTATGGGATGTCTCTCCATGCAGCCTTTTTCATCATTTAGCATATTTGGGGTTTTTTCAAATCCAGAATAAAGGCTTCTGAAATCAGCATATGATGTTTAAAGGCAAAGAGACAAAAACAAGGCATTTAAAATCACCCAGTCATAAAAACAAATGACAGATATATTCGTGTACCTTCTGGTATTGCTCTTTGGAGGCCAGAGCTTCCTCAAGCTGCTGCTTTGTGTAGGTGTAGATGGCAGAGCGGTATGTCGTCCCAATATCGTTCCCCTGACGCATCCCTGCACAAAAACAGACACGCAAAAAAAACAGACCAAAAAAATAAATACAAAAATCAAGAATTGACGATTTCAGCTGACGCGAGGTGCCGTTGTCCTCAGTTCTTGGCAGAGGGAACGTCACATCATCTGAAAACAACAGCTGACAACATTTCCAAAAATATGACTTGTCTGTCTTGGTGGAACTGAATGCTGTTTTTGACTGATTTGATCATCTCGCCGTGCATCCTTTCATCATTTAACTGTCATCTTGTCAGCCTGTCGACAACCGCGTCTGGTTAACTCAAAGGTTTCTAATGATGGCAATGTGTGTGGGTCAATCTGTGACGCACACGCAGGTGCAGACATTTATGTTCCACTGTGACTGAAGATATTTCATCCACCTACTGACAGCAAATATCATCAGCTTTACCTGCACCTGCGCTGCTGACATTGGCATGCATAACAAATCTAAATCAGTACATTAAATGTGTTTATCGGGAAGTTTTATGTGAAGGGATTGCCTAAACATGTTATGCCTCTCATTCAAAGCAGCAGCAGACAAAAAATGACATGTTTCAAACTAATTCAAACTAATGCTGGAGCAGCTTTTTCAGGACCCTGTGGCTCTGAAGGGTCTCGTTTATTTAGACGTGACTCACAGTTGCAGCCAGTACAAAGATAACAGATGCATTCAAAAACATATTATAGAAATTATAGAGTTACAGAAATATAAAGGAACAAGCCTGTATACATGGAAATGTGACTCCTAAAGTGCATTTACATGAGTTATTTTAACGTTTAGACCCTTCTGCCAAAACGACAGGATAAAGTTAATAGTAAATAATTAAATGTGATGATCATAACAAAAAAAACAAGAGGGATGTTAGATTATCAAGGAGACTGCTGTGTCTCTATAAACAGCAAACACTGAGGACCACATAAAGCAAGCATGGAAAAACACCAGCTGCAGCAGCTCCCATTTTTCTCTCAATAAGACGAGGATCATTACAGAAATATGACCTTTTACACGCTTCATTACTTTTCAGTATGCTGACATATTATAATATCTTTTTGTTGTAATGTATGTTAAATAAAATAACATTTATCCTATATGTGAATGAATGAAAACCTGTTTCTGAAAATTGTAATTTTTTTTGATACTGTGGGAAGAATTTACACTATTTTGTGGTGGGGTGATAAAAAGAGAGGACAAAAGCACTCAGCTTGCTACACATTATATCTAAAGGAGTTGCAGGGCCATGGAATTAGGGATGGGTATCGAAACTCGGTTCTTGTTGAGAACCGGTTCCCACTGTTTCAATTCCTTGGAATTGTTTGCCATTTTTGCAAACGATTCCCTTATCGATTCCAGTCGCCCCGAATGATGTCACCACGTTGCGGTGGCCAAGTCAGTGTCACGGGTGGGGGGTTGGGATCTATCCCAGCTGCCACAGGGCAAGCAGTGGGATACACCCTGGACAGGTTGCCAGTCTGTCTCCGGGCTAACACACAAAATCACCAATTAATCTAACTCTACAAACTATATTTCTCGGGACTGTGAGGAAGATAGAGTACCCGGGGAATTCACAGAGAGAACATGCAAACCGGCCCAATGCTGGATTCGAAACCAGGCCCTTCTTGCAGTGAGGCAACAGTGCTAACCACTGCACTACCACAAAGGTAACCAGAACCAGAGATAGCTGCTTCTGCAGTTCACCATCAGAAAGAAGGAGAAGCCAATCACTGAAGTGAGTAATCATACTTTACTACATGAAAAGATTAGCACGTGGCAGTGAGCCTGTGTCATGTTATTTGCTCATGTAAGCTTAGTTAGGTTTCATTGTGAGTGATTGGTTGCTGTCTCTATAGTGAAAACCAAGTCCCAAGTTCGGTTAAATGGGAAGGGCATCTGGTGTAAAATCTTTGTCAAATTAAACATGTGGATGATCTTTAATTGGAAACAGACATTTTGAAGATGACACTGACACTGGAGATGAGGAGAAAGACTTTATGAAATAAACTAGCACCGTAATTGTCGGGCTATAAGCCGCTACTTTTTGCACAAGCTTTGAACTCTGCAGCTTTTAGTCAGGTGCGGCTTTTCTATGGATTGTCCATAATTTTTGTGATATCGTAAGACGATTTGTTTTGTTTGTTCCGCTGTTGTACGGCACTACGTTGCCTGGCGGAAGGGCATGTGATCAGACACACAGTATCGGGGTTAAAGAGTGGCATGTTGGTCACGTGTCCATCCGCCAGGCAACATAGTGTCGTACAAGTAGTGCGAAAAACAAACTTCAAAGTAGCGGTACATGTTCAGCGGGAGTCGTGGATGATGAGCGGCGATAAACTTGCGAAAAGCAAGTTATGCTCAACTCCACCGGTGGAATCTGACAGCGTAGAAAAGTGTGAAAACATCCACGATCACCAACGGATTTCGATGGGCTGGACTGCTGCATGATGGAGAGGAGGACACCGCCACGGCCCTTCAGAGGGTGTTCGACTCCGACACTGACAACGAAGATTTCTTTGGTTTTGAAAGTGACAACGAAGGAAAGAAGCTGAGAGTGGATGACGAAGCCATCCTGAGCCTGTTTGTATCCGACACTGGAGAAGAGGACTTTGGTGGTTTTAGTGCGCAGGAAGATGGTGGTGAATGACTGACTTTTCTTCTTGTTAAAGCCGTGTCACTGCACCTGAGCCTAAAAGGTAGTCTGAATCTATTTTTCTGGTGTGCTGTAGGTTACTGCTATGTACTACATTTGTTACTCATTTATGAAGCACAGTACATGTTTCATACTTGTAATTACCGCTACTTGTACATATACCTATAAAGTTATGCAAATATGTACCCGTAACTTGTTTTTCAAAATATTAATAAAAGTGATGTCTCCAAACAGCCGTCTCTTTCCTGACAATTCGCTTTGTGCATATTCTCTTACATATGATAAGTCAACATTGAAACACCTGCGGCTTTTAGTCAGGTGCGGCTAATGTATGTACAAAACAGGATTTTCTCCTGATTTTAGCTTGTGCGGCTAATATTCAGGTGCGCTTTGTAGTCCGGGAAATACGGTATTCCTACTTTACACTTACTCGGAGGTGAATGTAAAGTAGGTTAAACCAGCTAAATGCAAAAGGGTGGATAATTTCTGGTAATGCAAATGTACCCTGTTACATTTCTCAGGAGGTAGCTGAAAATGTAATATATTATTTATACTAGAAGTAATGTAATGCAATGTAGCTAAAAAATAACATTAAAACTAAGCTTTAAGAAGTTGGCTAATAGCAGCTAACAGTTGAGCCAGCCTGAAAAAACGGAGTCTGTAATTTTGAAACAATGAGCCTAAAACCTGCTTTTGTTTCAAAAGGCTTTATTAGCTGTTTTTTTTCTGTTGCCATCTTTAAACCAAACACTTTTTTTCTCATCAGTTTTATCCTCATAATAGTTCCCTAATGGTATTCTAAGATACATACGATGATAGATGATGCTTCCTGTTCTCACTCAGTTTAATAAAATCTTGAATGTATTACAAACTGATATTACTGTTAGTGCGGGTTAATAGAATTTCCTGGTGAAAATCAGAAGAAAATGAAGCATAATGGGGAAAAGGTAAGAAGAAAAATTACACTTTTCAGTATTCACTGCATTAGCCACTTTTTCATTCTGTTTATCAGTTTAAAAAAAACAAAACTCAGTGTTTTCCTTTGGGGCCAAAGTAATGAGTTTGTTGGTGAATGATGTACCTTGAGTTGGGTTGTGGCTTTCCCAGAAGACTTTGAGGAGACTGGCAAAGCTGATCTGCTCTGGTTGGAAGACAACTCTGACCACCTCAGCGTGGCCTGTCCTGCCTGCAAAATACAACATTTGTGAGCAGATGAATGATACGGAAAGGTACAGCGTGTTCAACTGATGAATCATTCCCCCTAATTCACTGCTTATGAAAAAACATTTAGATTTTTTTTCCTTTCACATTTTCCACAGCTCCATTAAGAGCTTTTTTTGGTTTGGACCTGGGTTGTTTCATTGCATTGCTCAATGTGAATGGAGGTTAAGATGGCCCCAGTTTGGAACTGAAGCAATGTGATGCTATGGACAAGATCACCCGCAAAATTGTTTTTAGCTTTTATGTAACACATTAAATATTTTCACCATATTGACTTTCCACTAGAAAGCCCTTTCTAATGAGGGACTTGGGAGTCACTGGTCTACATCGATTTGTTGTGCATTACTGAACAAATCCAGCTACTGATGAAAATACAGTGAAATACAGTGAAAAGCTTCAGAATAACAAGTGGACTGCAGTTGATCCAATTTTATTTTAACTGCTGGTTTGCAAGCAAGCTATTACCCATAATCCAGAAGTACTAGCTAAATAAGTACTTAAGTCATGATGAGGACCAAGCGAAATAAACCAGTAAAAGGACCTTGAGTTAAGATTATTTTGTTAACTTCAGCCTGACAGCTCATCACTCTTCACTTGCCATTAACAAACCAGCCTTGAAGGTCTTCTTACTGTTTTCCTTTGGATCCTTTGCTTGCATCACATGGTCTTCGTCAGCAGCTGTAAGTGCTTAGCTGTATTTTAGGTACCTCATCCATACTGTCTCTCAATTTGAGCTTAATATTTTAATCTAGACTTCACTGTCATTGACAGAAGAATCTCAACTCAAGGTTCACCTTTTCACTGGTTCTGGAGCTTTTAACATCAAGAGTTATTGATCCCCCTAGTAGATGTGAACAAAACAGTCATGACTAAAGGGAAGCTTTTAGAAAATAAGAAAAAGCACACAAGACTTATAACTTACAGTATTCACATAATATATTTTAATATCCAAAGCTAAGGAGTTCTAAGGTAGATATTTGTATATTTTCTGAATGCCTCCAAAATGATCATATTTTACACCTAAAAAAAACAGAATTTTTTTTTTTTCTTAAATACTGGTTCAAAGCCGATTTCAACATTCAACCACTACAAACAATCGCTGTTACAGACAGTCAAACAGCAGCTGGTGCTGGTAATGAGCGTGACCCATTACGTGACACCTCATCTTCCCCCGTCTCTTATTCTGCCTCCACTGCTATGTCTCTCTCTGTCTTATTACTTTTTTAATATCAGGAGTTATGGATTCCTACGGAAAGATATTGGCGAACAGAGACAAAGCAGCAGTCGATATTAAATTAATGCTTCACCAGGCCAGTCTCACAGGAATTAATTCATCTTGGACAGCACGAGAAATACAGCAGTGGTTGGAACCACAAAAAATAATGCTGCAGCTGTTAGCTTAATAGACATTCAGCTGCAAAATAATCTGATAATCTATCATTAATTCAGAATCAACCTGCAATGACCTGAAATATTATTTTTCTCTTATTTTTGTTAAACTAAATGAATGAATTTCTTAAGACTCCTTTGCACCTGTATAAACAGCCTTTACTGGTAACTGGTGTTTGATGGCAGTGGAACAATTACATAACATCATTTTATAAATTCCATACATGTAATAAGCAGTTGCATGCTTTTACAGATCAAGCAGACATTAGGCAACATTTGCATTCATTATAATGTTTACTGACAAGTAAGAAGGTTATGTGATTACTTCAGTTTGTTTTTTGAATTACTCCAAAGGTTATGAATGGATTTGCATTAAAATTGTATCGGAGGCGGGGGCCTGGCCCAGCTTTGAAAGATTTCACTTTTGGATTTAATCTGACTCAGGATACTCTGGATTTTTCTTTTCTTTTTTTCCCTTTTCTGTTTTTTTTTTTTTGGTAAAAACTGATCCAGCTCCATATATTCTTCAGGTTTAGGGTGTCAAAACTCTGGAGTTAAGGCCTAGAAACAGGCCCCAAAACAGGCACAAAGACATGACGAAAGGGGAGGACAGGACTATATAATGAGACACAGGGGGTCACAATCAAGTCAAGCCAGAGTCTTGAGCAGACACGAATCTCAGACTGGAAAAGACACAAGTGGAAAAAAATCATTCGAGTTCCAGTGAAGTTACGGGGGGGGGGGGAGACATGACTGGAGACATGGGAAAAAAATCTGGAAAAATCAAAACAGGAACAAAAACTCAACAATAACCAGGCATTGTGGGAGCAGGACAATACACCGGAACGGAACAAAAAACAGGAGCACAAAGATTGTAAAACAAAATGTGCACAAAACACTGCCGCACAGGGAGCAGTTCATCAATAATTCAGGGGACCAACCCGGAGGACGGCAACACGGGAGTCCAAAACAGTTTGGTTCCGGAGGCCAACCGTGCGGACGGCAACGGCGGCGACGTGGAAACAGTTCAGGGGGCCGACCGTGCGGACGGCAACGACGGCAATGACGTCTAGAGGCCCAGAAAGTGGCCGCGATGCTGAGGTGCTGGACGTACCTTGGACAGCGGTGTAACAACCGCAGGACCAGAAGCAGAGGCCGGACCAGGCGACGCCGAAACAGCTGCGGATGGTGACACTGCAGGTGACGGCTGAACGGGCCACTCGGACCCTCCAGCAGACATGAGGAAGGGCTGGTTGGGCTCACCAGAACCCCCAGCGGACAAGGTAGATGGCGGCGCGGGAGCCGCAGAGTGCTTGATCTACTCACTCGAGCCTCCAGCAGGAGCAGATGCAGGGCCAGAGGGTGTCGGGACCCCTGACTGAACATTAGGCTGACTAGGTGGGTGAGTGTGTAGCTGACCAGGGAACTGAAGTACTACAAGGGACTGAACTGAAGTCTGAACTGGCACAGGGGACTGAATTGATGGCTGTAGTAACGATTGTGGTGAGAGTGGAGTAGGTGGTGGAGTAGATGACTGCACAGGAAACTGAACTAGAGGTGACTGCACAGGAGACTGAGCTAATGGTTCTGGTGCAAACATAGCTGCTGATGACAGAACCAATGGCTGAGCTACAGGGAGAGGGGACACTGAAGACGGAGTTATGGGTAGCGCGGATAAGGGCTGTGCTGCGGGCAGCAGTGACGATGTGGAGGTGTAACGGGTGGAGGAGTGGCTGAATTGGCTGCGGGCCGGGCGGTTAATGGCTCAGCTACAGAGTGCATTAATGGCAGGGCTATAGGTTGAATGACTGACTGAGTAGCAGCCTGAATGGCTGAGTGTAGTGATGGTTGTGGTGGAAGAGAAGCAAGTGGTAGTGTGGATGATGGAGCTAAGGGCGACTGAGTGGAAGACCGAACGGATGACTGAAGTGATGGTAGAGGTGAAAATGGAGCTTGTGGTGGAGATAACGACTGTGCTAGCGGGGACACAGGAGACGGAGCTGCTAAGTGAGCTTACCACAGTTTGCATTGTTATGGCGGGAGGAGCATGAGGAGAACAGTCTTTTAGATCACCCAAATGGGAAATTTTGGTTTCAAAGGACACAGTCTTTTTCTTTTCAGCCATAACATAATCAGACCTTGGGCCTTCAGACCCAGTAAACTGTTCAGTATCACTTACACTCACCTAAGGCGTTTGCTCTGGTGAAGTCCTGGGTTCCGTCCGTGGCAATTTTCGCTGCCTGCGCTGCTGCTGCTTCCCCCTGGAAATGGGAGTGGAGATAGTGGTGGTTGCCGGTAATGGCAGAGAGGTAGAATCTGACTCCTCCTCTGACCATATTGCTGCGAGAAAAGAGGCAGGTCAGCGGTGGTCAGAGCTGGACGTGGCAGTGGCGTGGAAACCCCCTTGCGCTTTAATGGCTGCTGCTGCATTGCAGAGAGCTCCATCTGCTGCTGCAGCGGTGGTGGCTTCGGCGCTGAATACCGGGAGCGGGCGAGAATGGCTAACTCTCGGGCTTGCAGTACCTCCCGGGCCTCGCGCACCATGTTTATTGAGTCCATAAATCCTCTGAGTTGACCAAAGTGGGCGTTCCTCTCGAGGATGGCTTCAATGGCTTTGATTCCTACTGTCATGGCACGGACATCATCAGTGTGGGAAATCTGCTCTACCAGACCTTGGATGCAGGCCAAATCAATTTCCCGGGCGGAGCCTGCTGAGTCCATGTCTGGTCGCGTCGTTCTGTCATGAAGCACTGTGTGGCAGGCAGGAGTTGGACCCAAAATGCAGGACTCAGACACAAGGGATGAACTCAAAACCACAGCTTTAATTGCTGGCACGGGGAAACGAGTATACAACGCAAACTAAACTAAACTGGGAAATAACAAATTAACACACAGGGAGATCCACACAGCATGAGGGACGACGCAATACTGAGTCAGAGAAACACAGGGTTTAAATACATTGGGAAGTAACGAGGGGAATGAGACACAGGAGGGCACAGCTGGCGAGACAAGGAAGCAAAGCAGGACACATTCACATAAGACATGGACCTTCAAAGTAAACAGGAAATACACAGAGACACAGACCAGAGGTGGACAGAAAAGCACAGACAAGCACGAGGGAGAGCACAGACATGAAGGGCTGGGAAAACATGTAATGTAACACAAGCAGGGGAAGCTTAATAAACTAAGCAACTTAGGACCGATAAATTAACTCCAAGAATAACAAATGAACTTGACATGAAACAGGAACACAGGAAAACTAAGAGCGCTGGGTCGAATGACCCAGGATCCTGACATAAACCTTCTGTTTGTGGGAGGTAGACAGTCAAGGGGGAGGTAAAGATGATTGTTTCACACAGGATGAACTCCTCAATGAAAAATAAATAAGGAGTACTTTGAAGTGTAAATTATACAAAACTACTCCAGCAGAATCCAGGAATAATAAAAAGAGAAATGAACACAGCAGCTGCCATTTAAAGACACAAAGACAGTGGACCTCCAGCAAGACCAAGTAAGAAGGTTATGTGAGTGTTGCTCATGAGCTACTGTGGTCTATTGTTTTTGAGATATACTTTC